AGAGGACAAGCCACATGATATTACGAACACCAAAAGGATTCGTCTTAAAACACGTTAGAGTCATATGGCTCTGAAACAACAAAGAAGTTTTATTGAATTTTTTTTACCACACAAATATCTTATGAATATCATTGTTACATCACTATTGCGTTAAAGTGGCGGTCGACTGGTATAATAATAGCAGAGGCAAGAGTCGTACATCTTTGGTGCTCTTGTTTTCGTGGCGGTCGTCGTTATGGGTTTAACCCTGAAATGGTCGTTACCATTTCATTGCTCTGCTGCGTTGGATGTGACCTTTGTCAGGCAGCAGCTTTCAAGTGAAAGGCCAGTCTCAGACACTCCACCGGCACCGTGCCGTGCGTCAGACGTCTGTGTCGAGGGTATGATATGCTTCCAATCTCTATATACAGGGTGTTGGTTAATTAGAGTGGCCAGGTAACCTGGAAGTCAACGAAGTGTCTCGGATGCTCGCGGAAATCACTACAAGTACTTCTCGCGTTCTTGCTTTGAGGTTTTACACGAAAATTTTTCTTCATCTGAAAGCATGCCTCAGAAACTTCTACTAACATACAGGGTGTTCCAAATTTTACCCTCTCGTTGGCTTCTTGGAAACGGTAAGAGATACGAAGTCGCTTCAGTGGAAGCAAAGCTGCGTATTTAGATAACGAACAAAATGCCGCTTATTGGACTTTTGCAGAGGTGAATAGAGTTTTTAATTCTGATTCCAAAAATGTATAATATGTCATACATTGACATTTCCGAACATTAATTATCAAAAAACAGAATTTCCCAGGTAGGCATTGAAATTACCAGTTTTTCATTTGTTTCATATACCAGATTTATCGCAAAATCATTTTTATTTTTTCCTGACTATTTGAGATCAGAATTAGATGTAAATTGCATGCTATACTTGGCGTAGTCATATTTTCAATTCGACTTAATCAAGTTTGTTTTTTCATATGGACGGAATTTTGTCATGTCAGTCCGAAATCTAGTTGGCCATGAAAAAGGTATGGTCAGTTTATGCACAGGGAGCATATGACAGTTTTGAAGACCTCAAATTGAACATACTAACAGTGTTTGGAAGTACGAGAGGAATGGAAATAAACCGAGCAGTGAACAATCTACTGAGAAGAATCAAGCTTTGCCTACAAAATAACCGACACCTTTTGAACATACGCTATGATCTACCTCTGCTTATTTATGATTATTGCTATTTCCTTATAATTTTCGTTCCAACAAAAAAATGCATGGCCAATTTTTTTTTATACTCCAACTATCACGAAGGCCTAAGGCCTAAGCACCCATTGGGTACCGCTATAGGGCGATACATGAGAAAGGAGGAACGCCACACAGACTCTGGCGAGGGAACACGTGTACATGCAACATGCACACATTCTGGCTCCGCCTACGAGATCCGCCGGGTGGTACCTCCTCGTTCGACAGTCAGAGACCGTCTACCACCTACGGACAATCACAACATCCATAGCTAAGAGAAAAATTTCTCCTGGGACGGCACTCGAACCCGCACAGCGCACGGCGACTGATCAGGAGACCGAAGAGTCTACTACTGCGGCCACCGCTGCTGCCTAAGATGGCCAATTAAGGAAATACATCTCCGAATTTAGGACTGAGAAATCCAATTAAATGTACAATGTTCCAAAATAGCGTGCATATGAAAAAACAAAGTTGGTGATGGAAATCGGAAGGTAACCAACTACGACATTGTAAAATCCCATCTCAAATAAAGTCAACAAAGAATAAAAATGATTTCGCGATATTTCTGGTATATGAAACGGACTACCTGATAATTTCAAAACCTACTTAGGAAATTCTGTTTTTTGAAATAACTAAGGTTTGGCAATGTCAATACATGACATATTAGACACATGTTTGAAATCAGAATTATGAGAATGCAAAAATCCAATATGGCGCAATAAGGTTGATGCTGGAGGACAGGAGACGCAACGTGATATTGAAATTCTAATTATGCCATCTCTAGAGGAGAAAAAATGGCAATGTGAATGTGCAATTCATGATGAAATCCCACCACAAGTAAAATCAGGGAAAAACAAACGATATAGGAAAAATTCGTTTTTTTCTTTCTCCGGAAGTACTTTGAATTCAGAAACTTTCTAAGCGGCGTAAGTTACCTAAATACGCAACTCTGCCTCTAGATGAGCGACTCGGTATCTCTTACCGTTTTCGGGATCCCAATGGTGAGGGTCCAATTTCAATCATCTTGACATTGTCTACTACTAACTAGTTTTATAATTTACGGTTATTTCAATGTTGGGGCGTGTTCTTACAGAAACAACCATTGCAGGACGTAGTAGATAAGCTCGGACAATATCTAGACAACTTGTTGACTCTGAACATTGAAGTAGAAATCTCAAATATGAAGTAATTTCCCTGATCTCTTTTTTCCGATAGCGCCAATTCCAAAAAATACTCGTACGAACCAAACTGAAAGCTGAGCACATGACACGTATTTTCTGATGGAAAATGAAATTTTCTTTAAAAGTGATGGAAATTATTCGCTGTTTTAAACTTCTCAGGATTATAAAATAGAAACCCCCGTCTCATAAGTGTTTATTTAAGACATGGTTGATATCTCTACGAGGTCTATCAAAGCTTCATCTACTAGCGTTTCTGGACCGCGAATGACCCTGTATATTATGTCAGCCACATAACACGCCCCACCGGATAATCGAATCCGAAATGTACAAAAAATAAAAACAAGTGAAAAATGCCGCCGCTACCGCGTTGCCGCGCGGAGCAGCGCATTAAAAAATTAAAAAATCACCCTCTCTCACCCTCTCGCTGGCATGGGGTCGGTCGCATGCAAAAAGGGGGGTCCCCGGTTATATTGGTTGGGTAAGGGGTGGTTAGCCAAAGGGGAGGGGACATCATTCAACGCGGCAGCGGCGGCGGCGGCACTCTGACGGCGAATCGATACCGACTGTTTTGCGATGTTGCCAAATTGGGTTAAAGCTTGGGAGGCAAAAGGGGGCACAAGCTTAATCGCATATCACCAATAACATAAGTCTACAAACATCCACAAAGAAACGTTTCTCTATATTATTAGAGTAACCCCAAACCAAATGTGTAGCAATGGCTGGCACTGCATTGAGTAGGGTTGCCAAGTGTTTCTACAAGAAATAAAGCATAATGTGTTCTAAAGAGGAAAATTAACAGTATTTAAAAAGAAAAATGGGATCTCAGATACGAAGTGGCTTAAATTGGGGCAAAGTTGCGTATTTAGGTAACAAGATACCACGCAAAAAATTTTGAAATCCAAAATACTTTCGGAGAGAGACGGAAAAAAACGAATTTATTTGTAGTGGGACTTTAATATTAATTGGGCATTGACATTGCCACTTTTTCTCCTCTATAAGAAGGTATAAATTAGAATGTCAATATGACGTTTCGTCTCCTGCCATCCAGCATCAACTATTTTTTATAACGGGCGCCTTAACGAATTTTTGCACAGATGGATAGAGTTGTTAATTCTGATTCCAAAAAAAATATGTCATACGTAGATATTGTCAAACCTTAGTTATTTAAAAAAAATAGAATTTCCTAGGTAGGCCTTGAAATTATCAGATAGTCATTTATTTCGTATACCGTGTTTAATGAAAAATCGTTGTTTATTTCCTGGTTTTATTTGAAATAGAATTTTGAAACAAATGGCGTATTAGTACTGCCACTCGTTCTCCTCTACAAAAGGGCCTAGTCAAATTCTCAATCAGACGTTTCTCCTTTCTATTTCCATCCTCAACTTTGTTTTTTTTTTGTCTTATTGAAGTGTTGCGCAATCGAACGCAATTTTTAATCCTGCATTTAGTTATGAATATAATACATTTATTTATATCCCGATAAACTTCACCCATTTAAGTAAAGTAATATTATTCTTAGTAGTAATATTTAAATGTCCCAGTATCCATATTGAAAAATCAAGATTGCGGTGGAACACGAAAGAAGAACCCGATTTGTAAGCTTGAACATGACTTCGTATCTCAAATAAAATCAGGAAAAAATCTGGTATGCGCAACAAAGATAATTTTAAGGCCTACCTCGGTTTTTTTAAATAACATAAGGTCAATGTATAACTCGTTATACATTTTTGTAATCAGAATTAAAAACTTTATTCATCTGTTCAAAAATCCATTATTGCGTCCATAAAAAAAGAGTTGATGCTGGATGACAGGAGACGGAACGTCATATTGAAATTCTGATTATGCCCTTTTATAGAAGAGAAAATGTGGCAATGCTAATGTGCTAAATCCTACTACAAATAAAGTCAGGAAAAACCTAAAATAATTTTGCGGAAATTCCGCTTTTGCCACCTCTATCCGGAAGTGCTTTGAATTCCGAGATTCCCATCGTGTGGGTCGAATTTGAAATACCAGGTCTTGATAATAATACATAACATAACAAACATCAATATTTTATTGGTTTAATCTTTTGAATACATCTTTCTTAGAGTTTCTCGCAGAATGTCTCTGTATTGTTATTTTGGAATGCTTCCTAAGCCTCACTACAAATAAAATTTCAATCAAAACAAATAAGGAACTCATTTTTGGAGTGGAATAAAAATGACGGCCGAGTATATCCCCTTTATAGCAGCTCAACTCCACGCCTAACACATAGAGATGGGAAGATCAACGCTCGCAGTCACACATTCTCGTTTTCTTTTTAGACAGTTCTTTTATTTTTGTTCAACAGTAAAAAGTATGACTTAGTGAAAATCACTGTACTTAATAGTATAGCTGGTAACCCTAGTCTAGAGGTATATTATCAATATTCCTGCTATTACGATCGAAAACTGGTATGTTGATTACCGTCAGCTTCTCAAGAAGAAAAATGCATGTATGTCCTGTTCAAAATAGAATGTATCTTTCAAGAACATTAGTAGCGTTTGTAAATTTTTCTTTCAAAAAAATATATATTTCATTTTCCACGCCACATGTGCAGTTTTATCATCTTGCTGACTAGGTAGCTGTCAGTGTGCAAATAGTTCATTTCTCCAGCATGTTTGTTGGTTACAGAATGCTGAGATAGTCTGTAGAGAAGAAAAAAATTTGAGTAGCAGAGTAGCAATATCGCATGTGGATGATTGTGTGTATTGGTCTGTATGTGTATAAAATCAGAGAAAATTATTAACGAATATGCTGCCCATAAAATACGAGCATATGTACTAGCTGTGTCAGACGGATTATTTATGTATTGTCCTTTCTGAGGAGAGGTTATGTTCAAAATGATATCTGAGGCTTTATTTCAAAAAATTATATTCAATTTACCTTCAAAGCCAAGAAAAAATTAGGAATGACAGATCACACACAAAACATTTGCACAGTGCCTCACATCCAGGCCCTATTTGTATTTTCTACTAAATGACTGTAAATAAAAAATAATGTAATAAGTAATAACCTTTTCTATATATTCCTGTCTATTTTTTCACCTGTAATAGTTGGAATTTACTTCACCATCTAGGGATTTTCTTTTTTTATCTCTCTCATTTTTTAAATTCTGCAAATTTTGCATTTGTAACTTCCAGGATCAATAAGAAACAGTGACTGCGCAACTAATTTCTAGCTTTGTAAGTCTGTTTGAGACAAGAAACCAAGAAAATTATTATCAACACAGATTATTAGCACACAAATCCTCACTAAGCACCTAAGCACTGCCGTTTCTCCACGCCGTGACGTTTAGGCAACTCGTACAGTTACAACGAGTACACGTCATGTTAACAACAGTTCCAAGTTGACAGCTTATAGGAAAACCTAAACAATGTCACTTTTCGAGATACATAATGCCCCTGCAGGTCCTATTTTTATAGTGTTAATTTTGGACGTCTCTGAAATATTGCTATCTATGATCTAAAATTGAGTACAGTCACATTAAATCTGCCGAAAAATAGCATGGCTGTTTTTATAGAATAAAATATGTGACATCAACTTAGATTCCCTTCGGTAAAAACAATAAACGCTAGAGAAATTATGTGTATGATGAAACATAATACCCATAAATGGCTTAGAAAATAATTCCTTCACAATATGAAGCTATGCCGGCCGTCATCCGCCTCGCCGCTGCACAAATTATGGCACATCAACAAACGTCCAAACTTCATCACAACTTGTAACTCTCAAATCTTTATATGATGACTGATGTCTCAAACCTAATGCGTTGTTTCTGCATTTTTACACTAGTTTGAGAGATTTTCGCAGGCCTTCAGCCGTGGAAGTTATTTTTAAAAATATATATTTCATGCGGTTCATATGGTTAGTATATGGATAGTAAATATGTTCCAAAGTAACTTATGACCTCTTATTAACGGTTTTACAATTGGAAAATCCGTTGATCCCTATTTGAGCAGTTATTACGTATCTCCAAATCATTTTTTCAAGTTCTCAGAATCATGTTAAACAATTGGACTCTATTCTTCAATTTGATACCCGCTGTATGCTATTGTTATAGCCTGAAATTGTGACATCACCATGACAACTAATACAAACTGAGTTATGACGTTCGACGACTATATCCACACCTTGCATAATTTGATCAGCTCCGGCAGCCTCTGGAATTGACGTGCAACAGAGATCCATAATTCAATAACGCGCTTGTTGGTTGGTTAGATGGTAAGCAACATATACTCACTACACTAGTTTTGTATACAGTTAGACATGAGCAAGAGAAGGTTGTGATCAAATTTTGAGCTGAAAACATTTGCTGTATCACTGTATTTCGCAATATGCATTCGCCCAGTTGTCGTACTTCTGATGAGGTGATTTATGCTTTCTTGAGGTGTCTCATTCCATCTTGGTTTCAAGAAGCTGAAAGCGTTTATGGAGGATGAGGTAAAGATGTCACTTTTCTTCTCATCATATCCCACACATGTGCAATGGGCGAAAGGATGAGACTGACTGGAGCGATATTGTAGTAAAAATTGGGTTTCAGTATTTTCTGGAGCTGTCTCGAAGAAAGGCATGATGTAAAGCTTTTAGTAGAACGTCACCTGCAGCATACTGTAGGAGTCATGGTTTAAAGTGCCACTATACAGTGCTTTCCTTTAATGTCGCACTCCCCTTTGAATTTTTGAACGGATCAATTCAAAAAATTAAAACTTGTGGTGATGAAATTGATGCGTAGATACCATATTTTAGAGTAAAATTGACAGATGAGAATGTCAAAATGGCCGCTGGGCGCGATCTTGGAAAAAAATTATATGAAAATGGGGGTCTTGTGGCACATCATTTTGAAGCTCCTGACGAGTACTTTATAACTCTAGAATATAAAGTCAATACCTTTACCTACTACAAAATGGTGGTACATTTGATAATTACCTGAATACATTGACATTTAACTTGATAATTCGAATAAATACGTTGAGTTCAGTTTAGAAGATGCTTTAAATGGTTGCCTTGAACTTCTGGACACAATAACAGCCGTTCCGTAATTTCGCGTCGAACATTTTCAAACATCGATATTTCTACAAATATTTGTTATTCTCAGCCGTATATTTGTTATTCTCAGCCGTATATCCCATATTGAAGCAGGTTCAGTTTTGTACCCCTTTTGCTTCAAATAGCCCCATAAAACAGGTCTAAAGGTGTCAAATCTGGCGAGCAAGCTGGCCATTCAACAGGACCTCGACGGCCAATCCAACGACCGGGGAAATTATCAAAATAATTTCTAACTTGTCTGTGGTAGTGCGGTGGAGCGCCATCTTGCTGGAATACAATATCATCGCATTCATTATGATTTAGAGGGTCATAGAATTTTCCAGCATATCCAAATACAGTTCCCCGGTTAAAACTTGTTCGATGAATAGAGGCCCCAGCCCAAACATTAATTTTTTGTGGATATTGAGTACGAGTTTTCCGGAAGACGTGAGGATTGGTGTCACTCCAATAACGACAATTTTGTCTATGCACATTACCGTTGAGAAAAAATGTACATTCGGTGCTAAAACAAATATTTTGGATATAGGTAGGAAGCCGTGAAATGATTTCCGTCACAGTCTCGCAGAATTCTGTTCTTCGATCAGGGTCATCTTCAGTTAGCTTATTCTTTTTCAAAAGTCTCCATACAGTAGAAGGACAACCCTCACATACATTCGCGATGGAGGAAGTGGACTGTTGGGGATTTACTATGATCTCAGCAATTATTTGAACTTGCTTTTCTTCCGGGATGGTCGGATGACCTGGGGGCTTTTTGTTGTTTACACTACCAGTAGCTGTAAATTTAGATACAAGTTCCCTTATATATTTTCTACAGATAGGACGATTCGGGAAACGATCATTAAAAATCGTGTCGCACCGTAAATAAAAACCTCTTTGATTTTTTCTTACAACGGACGAGAATTGACCATTCTGAAAATAGTTCAAACAGTATCTAGCATTAAAACCGAAAACTAAATAGGAATATTTTAACTGTACAATGATGTGTGTTTTCGTACTGATATTCTTGTCACTGTCAACAAAAAATAAAACAAGTTTTTATCGCTGTTGTTGTGGATACGGCAGGGAATTACAATTATTTGTAGAGATATGCATATTAGTGGGTTTGTGTTCAAGTAATTATTAAATGTACCACCACTTTTTAGTAGGTAAAGGTATTGACTTTATATTCTATGGTTATAAGGTAATCGTCAGGATCTTCAAAATGATGTGCCACGAGACCCCCGTTTTCATATAATTTTTTCCATGGAAAAACTATGATGAGATGAGATATCGTAATGTTCTCGATGAGAATTTTTCACAGCTATCTTTCTCCTCTCCGCGAAAATTAGAAAGCTACTTTAAAAACGATAATGTCTCGTAGGTGAAGCTGTAGCCAACTTTGTATAAGCATATAGCTACAGCACCATCTAGGAGACACTAACTTTTTCAAAGTAAGCTTCTAATTAGTGCGGAGAGGATAGAAACATAGCTGTCACATTCTCAAAGATGACGCTATAGTGTCTCAGATAAAATTATTCGAAGGCGTTATACTTTCTTTGTTGCTCAGTGTATATCCAGCTGGAGGCATGCATATAAACGCAGCGCAGCGGATTATGCACGCGTTCAATAACAATGTTTATGTATTTCGTTATGCTCGCGAGCATACCTGCAAATAGAATTTGGTGTAAATATAACTGATTTGAGCTAACAAGTGCTTCATTTTACAATCGGATTGTGCTACTTTTAGGCAAAATTTGTCATAAATGCCATGCCATATGTGGAGAAGCTGCCCGATTCAATTGACAGTTTTTTAATACTGTCACGATCTTGGATTTAGCAAAAAAGTAGTTAGGAAAAATTAATTTACCAATTATCGTATTCACCGGTTATGCATCATATATTCAATATAAATGTTTATGCATTTGATTAGACTCGGGAGCACACCAAATATAATTTGAATCGAGCAAACAATTGCTTGAATGAAAAATTTCGGAAATGAGATATTATATATTTTTTTTGATGTTACATGACATGAACATCATGAAAAACCATGTCGGTCTGTCGATATATCCACTAATCTTATAACCTTAACTTGAGAAGTACTGCTCGGATATTGATTAAATTTGCACACAAGGTTACGACTATGCCAAGGATGAAAAAGAGGGAAGTAGTTTTTGAAAATCGGTATAGTTGTGGCGGAAACTTCGATTTTTGACATTTCCGAGACACTTGATAATTTTCAGAAAAAATTGTAGGGGCTAACAATTTGTAGTTGGGAGATGCAGGTAATGGGGAAGGTTCGCTTCCAATCTCGGTACCTATTAGTACATATTTCACACATAGATTTCCCCTTAGATTTGCCCTTGAAACACAAGTATTTGCGTGTTAAGTGCAAAGTCAACTTACGTAACGCCATTTTTTGCTAGAAAATGTATGCTTGCTTGATTTCAAGACTGCTCGCAGATTTGCAAAAAAAAATAAAAAGTGACCTGAAATAGGGTTTCAAAATGGCGACACCATTATATTATATCAATTATACTGATTAATAAAACCGTACCAAAGACTACTTCCTAACATTGCTTATTTTATTGGCTTTAGACAAAGTACACTTTCTCCTCTCAAATCGATTTTAAACAGTTTATAGCCATGCGGCTATATTTTTGCAATCTTTGCATAGGAGTAATTAGAAAATAGTTAAAAACTAAAATCCTCTTACGTTTTTACGCTACCGTATTTTTTAATTTCCTACTGGATAAATATTATTCATAATCCAAATAGCTTTTTAATTTGTAAAATTGCTGATTATTTATTTATATTATTACTAGGGATTTAGAAAAAAAGACCCGCCTTCAAATATTCAGTGCTTTATTTTGTTGGATGTCCACTAAGTTACGGATTTTTAAAACGCAATCTTTTAATAAGATTTCAATTTTGAATCTATTTAATATCTGCAGGCAGAGGATCGTAAACACTTTTACACACAGTTTAATTTCAGTGAATGGGAACGCACCATCGCTATGCTATGCAATTGCATCACAAGGAAAAATGTAGGAGCAAAGTAGTTTGGTACAATGGCTCTGTTGCAAGAGGGTAGAGGAATGAGGTGGGAGGGGTCATGTCAACTGTGTTACTGGGATAAAAATCAAACTCTAAAGTTTTGAAAATAAGAATACTTTCAACTTAATCGTGTTATGATGTGTATAAGAAAAATACAATTTCTAGTATATGACCCGCCATACTAGGATTACAGTTTGATTTTACTTCACTAGAAAAACCATGTCACTCATTTCCGTCGGTCTGTCTGTCCGCCAAACGTTGGTCCGTCTATAACTTGGAAAGAACTGCTCGGATTTGGATGAACTTTTGACACAAGGTTACTACTATTCCAAAGGCCAAGAAAAATCGGTCCAGTGGCGGCAGAGAAAAAAGCCAAAGCAGAAAAAATAGAAATCGCTTAAACTCCATCTTTGGACATTTCAGAGGCTCCTGATCATTTTTGAAGAATGGTCATATGTTACACATCACAGATTTGCCCGTACATTGTGCTAAAAACTTCTAAATATAGATACACGTTTTTACACTCGTCCATATTTCTGCTCTCTGTGTACATGGCGGACGTGCCACGTCTGACGCGTCGTGCGATCTGTTGTCGGGGAGAGGCAGCGTTGGCAGATGGACAGTACCACCGGTGGGGCAGCGAAATGATGCCGACGTACTCATTGGAGGGCCTGTTTGTTACGCACTTAATCCATTTACTTTATGTCTTATACAAGTTCGCAAATAATGTTTACATAGAAGGTCTAACTCAAACATGCTGCTTTCTTCCATCCGACCAAATACAGCCATGTCTTGTGCTTTTTTTGGTAACTCATCAGCGGAAACACAGCAATTATCTTCTATCCAGCATTATCTTGTATCCAGCATATAAAGTGTAGTCTTATTCCGATAGGGTCTAACTTGTGCTGAAAATGATCTTTGATGAACTGATGACGGCATTGCGAGTGAAGCGCAGAGTCAACCTACTTGACGCCATTTTTAGTGAATGGGAACGTGCTTTCGTTGTGCTTTGTAATAGCATCAGATGAAAAAAAATGAAGCAGCAGAGTGGTTTTGGTACAATGGCTTTGTTGCAAGAAGGTAGAGGACTGAGGTAGGGAGGCCGTTTTCCTTGGGCGATCTGCGATGAAGGTAGCTGTTCGTTCGAGGGCAACGTGGTGGTACAGGTAGAGTCGCATCGGCTGCTTTGGCATCGGCCAACCTTGGACACGGTCAATGTTCCACCGTGGATGCCGTCTACGTGGTCGCGGGTCGGCGCGACGGAGTCAAGAGAATGCCCCTAGGCTGCGGTGAGCACGATGGCGATGATTGCCAACAGGTGAAGTTTGGCGTTTTTCAACAAACTTCCGTTTTTTTCTTTTTGGTAGTCTGAACTTTCAGATCGAGTTCCAATTCCAAAAATTCCAGTGGCGTTTTAACTCAAAAATAGACGATTCAATGAACATTTTTGTTCGCGCACGGTGGCGATGCTTGCCACCAGGCGACCATTTGCGTTTGTCAATTTTTTTTATTTCTGGAAAATGTCAAGAAAGCTTATTGACGTTTCGACTCAAATCAAAGAATAGTCAATCGAAACAGTTTTAAAATTCGTTGAA